CTAAGCATCAGGGAAATGCAAATCAAAACCACATTGATATATCATCTCATCCCAGTTAAGACTAGCTATTTTCAAAAAGACAGAGAATAACAAATGCTGGTGAGGATGCAGAGAAAGGAGAATCCTTCTACATTAATATACAGTTGGTGGGACTGCAAATTTGTGGAGCCATTATGGAAAACATTATGGCAATTTCTCAAACAGCTACACATAGAACTGTCATATGATTCAGCAATCCCACTACTGGGTATAGACCCAAAGGAATGGCAATTATCATATCGAAGGGATACCTGCACTCCCCTGTTTATCACAACTCTACTTACAATAGTGGAACCAACCTAAATGTCCATTAACAGATGACTGGATAAGAAAACGTGGTTATATACACAATGAAATAGTACTCAGCCACAAAAAAGAATGAAAGTCTGCCATCTGCAGCAATGGGGATAAGCTTGGAGAAAATTATGCTAAGTGAAATAAGCCAGGCACAGAAAGAGAAATACTGCATGTCCTTAGTCATAAGTGGGAGCTTACAAATAAATAAACAAATAAAAAAGAAAGAAAGAAACAATGATCACAATAATATGTTGAACTTTCAAAAGGAGAGAACAGAACTATGGTTATTAGAGGTTGGAAAGGCAGAGGGGGAGGGGAGTTAGTGAGAAATTGGTTAAGGCTCACAAAGAATGATCATGTTTTGTAATGATGAATATACTAATTATCCTGATTTGATCATCATATCTTATACACAGGTATTGATATCCAACTCCATACCCCACAAATATGTATAATTAATTAAGTTTTAATTAGAAAAATAAATAAATACAAGTTGAGGTAAGTGCTTCTGATGAGAGAAATATGTTGTCATGGAAGTATGCAATGGAGGAATCTGCCTCAAATTGGAGTTATCAGGAAAGGCTTCACCAAGAAAGTGAAATCTGTGTGGGTGAATAATGACCAACTGAAAGAGAGAGTGTGTGCAAAGAAAAATTCCTTGGCAGGTGGCAGTGTGTTCTTTTTGGGGAAAGAAAGAAAGCAAGTGTGGATGGATCAGAGAGTCATGAGACTATGTGGGTATTGGGTACATAATAGAGGCAGAGTGGATATTAAGTATTTGATGAATGTCTTATTCCATTTTCTGCTGCTATAAAGAATAGTACAGACTGGGTAATTTTTAAGGAAAAGAAGTTCAGTCAGCTGAAGGTTCTGGAGGCTGGGAAGTCCAAAAGCATGGCACCAGCATCTGGAGAAGGTCATCCCATGGCAGAAGGGGTCCTGAAATCCCTGTTAATATTTTGATTTTTACCCAAGAACAATGGAAGGACATTAGGGAGTTTTGAGCAAATCTGTGTGTTGTTAAGTAGACTTAAGGCAGCATAATGACTATCTTCTTTTATAAGTCAGGATTTAGAAGTTCGGATGGCTTGTGTAACTTTTCCAGGACTTATGGTGGTCACACAGCTAGTGAGTGGCTTGGGTAGGACTTAAACCCAGGTCAAGTAATGCCACACTTTTTACTGTTATACACTCATTCGTTTCATGCTAACATATTCTCCTTTTCCCTCTCTCTCTCCTTCTCTCCCTTTCATTTCATAATTCTGAAACAAAAGCATTTACTTCTGAAAAGGAGTATGAAATAAAACTCATTGAAATTAACATTATTGGGCTGGCCCGGTGGCACACTCAGTAGAGTGCGGTGCTTGGGAGCGCAGCGGCGCTCCCGCCGAGGGTTTGGATCCCATATAGAGACCGGTCCGCTCACTGGTTGAGCGCGGTGCGGGCGCGACACTGAGGGTTGCGATCCCATTACCGGTCACGAAAAAGGACAAAAAGGAAAAAAAAATTAAAAAAAAAAAGAAATTAACATTATTAAGTTTCTCCAATACTGTGATATTATCCTATTTAATACCCTCCACCCTATAAGGGCAGCCCTTATTTTCCCTATTTTCAAGATCAGAAAACTGAGATTCAGAAAGTTAGGTGATATGCCCTATTGTTAGAGAGTACAAGTGCAGTACTGACTCCAAAGTTTACATGAGACCCAGAAGACTATCCAGTTACTTTAGTGTACTCTTCACCTGTAATGGAAGGGAAGGTGAGCAAGACTGAAAACACAGAGGTTGGGGAGGGTTTTCTATAACAATCTAGGTGAGAAACAAAGGTGGGAACGGACATAGTAGACTTTAGGTGAAGAGAATGAGTAGGAATTGAACATCCAATATGTTTTGGGTACGAGGTAGAGGGAGGCCTCCCTGGCTGGCCTGAGGCCTGGGCAGAGGTGACATCATTCACCCTAAAGAGCAGGTTTGTGGGAGGGAGAGGACAACTGCTGTGCTCTAGCCATGGCTGGGGTAGGCAGGTAGGTAGGTGAATCTGGAGGTCCATGGAGAGGTCTAGACTACTGGCCTTTGGCAGAAAAAGCTTTCCTTTTTATTGAGCAGATATATAATGAATGCTTGTTAGAGCGATGACTCATCTGCCATGACTTATGACTGTCGGCCTTGCCAGTTGGGCTTTCTTTGCCCTCATGCTCACGCTCCTAATGTTCCCTGTACTCTCATGTACTTCATTCTCTTTCCTGAGGACAATGCCCAGCGTGCTCCACTGGATCACAGTGCAGGTGGATAAGAATGGTATTTTATTGAAAGAAAAATTTTTTTCTGCCTTATGGTATGAGGCGAAAAAGAGAATTCACAAAGTATCAGTTTATTTAAGGAATTATACCAAATCCCCAGAGCACTGCCTTACACGTTCTAAATCAAGCACCTGGCTTTTAAAATGGGAACCTCTTGGCAGAAAGAAGGAAAAAAATAAATGAATGTACGTGTGATTTATCACTCTGATCTTGCAGTTTATGTGACACTGACATTTCACTCCTGGGAATGAATAGTCCTGTTTGCCTCAAAGCAGACTGTAAACGTTTGATTCGTGACCAGACAGCTTGACTCTTAATGGCCTGTAACCAACTAAAATAAGCACATGAAGTTATGACCATCACCAAGCAGCTAGGTATCATTCCTCAGTGTCCCAGTAACATTCGGCATTTCTCTGGAATTGCTTTTTAAAATCTGATCACTTCGGAATAATCTTCTAGTATAAAACTGTAAGACCTGTACAATAAGAAGTTGTTAAATCTTAAATTTAATGACAATCTCAAGAAGGACCCAATATGCTGTACTTATTGCAAAGTAAATACAAGTCATCCTTGTCTTCATCAGCAGATAGTTAACTGTGGATCGTCAGCTAAAGGTAAGGCAACATCCCAGCAATGAATCCTCTGCAGGCTCTGGTCTGCCTCATGGGCTTGTCATGTCTCTGATAGAATAGGGCCTCACTTGATAAATGCCATCTCCTCCTCCTGCACTGATGATGCCAGAACTGTTCAGGTAATGTTTACAACTCCAGCCAGTGAGCTCATTGTGGCAATTTTACTTCACGATGGAGAAAACACATAGGCACAAGAGCTTGACTGTCTGAAGAAAACTAAGGAGCCAAGATTCAGGCCCTGAACTCTGCTCTGGAAAAGCCTAAGGATCCCTTGGCAGCAAATCTCAAACTAATACCGAAATGAAGCTGATCTTGTGGTGTGAGCCAGGGAGAGTTGCCAGACTCTGGCAGGATAAATAAATCTGCTAGAAAGGCTTGCTGGATTATACCCACCATAAGGGGTGGTTGAGCTGCTGAGGTTGACCCCGACAGTATACGCAACCCAGGAAACAGGGTCTAATTGGATCCCTTCAGTGGCTCTCTTCTATTGCAAGCACTTTGGGGAAAATGGGAGAAGAGAAGCTGATTTCACGGCGGCAGGGGACCATGCCTGAGAAATGACACAAGCATGGAGATGTGGAAAAGCCCAAATAGGTCCAGGGTACAAAGGCAAGGCATCCAGGAAGCCACCAGATGGGAGTGGCTAGTGACTGTTAACTGGGCCTGCTTGGCCTTCAGACACGTGGAGTCCACCCCTAAATGGAGGCTATTTCCCAAGTACTCTGGCAATTAAATAGTTTTTAGTGCTAATTTATGTCTCCATTATTTTCAGAAGAGGAGAGAACCAGTCTCCAAGGGTCCATTTGACTAGGAAAGCAGCCTCTTCTATCCTGCTCTAGGATGGGAAAACATGGAAACTTTCTCCTGAGATTACTCATGTTTTGGTGTCATGAATGGAAGAAGGGAGTCAAGCCTTTTCTTTAGATAGGACAGTGAACACATTATGGAAGTTGTAACAACTACCAGTTACTGAGTATTTATGATGACCAGGCACTGTGCTATGTGCTTTATATGCATTTTTTTATTTCAACCTCACAAATACCTTAAGGGGAAGAGGTCATTATTATTCTTTTATAAATAAAGAAATCAGAGTAATGAGATGTTTACACCTTGCATTATACAACAAGTAGGATGTGAACCCAGGGCTGACGCAGCTTAACCATCCCTGAAACATGAAGAGCCTCAAGCTGTGGTCAAGAGAAAGGTTCAGATTTCATAAGGGTTAAAAAACTCACCTGATCATCCCCAGCATTTCAGTTACCATGAATTGGATGGTTCATTGCTGACTCTGATAATTTTAGTTTCATTCCTCCGTCAACGTTAATTTGGGAATTAAATACATTTACTGATTCCCTGTTAGGCCCCGCCGAATGTCAAGTGCATCTGATGCTCAACATTCCTGAAAACTCCCATTAGCGGTGCTGCTGACCATGTACTACAGCTCTGCTTCCCAAAGTGTTTCCCCTGGGGAAGCAGCGTCAACACCACTTGCAGGACGGCTACAAATGCAAATGCCCAAGCTCCACTCAGGACTTACTGAATGAGAAACTCTGGGGACAGGGCCCCGCAATCTGTGTGTTAGCCAGCTCTGCAGGTCACCGGATGCATGCTAACGTTTGAGAACCACTGCTCTAAAGTACTAGAGGGGCACAAGTGGAAATATTGTTTCATGTGGAAAAACACTGACTTGAAAATTTTCTTTCGTTCTTTTTTTCTTTAGAAAATGTTTTTACCTCATTTCCAAGTCTTCATTTTCCTGTGGTACAAATTTGTACAAGGCAACGTAGGTGTTCATCTGTAATGGGTCTTTGGAAAGAGGTCCCTGAAAGAAAAAAATAAAGAAAAATGAGAGAAGAAAGGAGGAAGAAATCAAGAGAGGAAAGAAAGAAAATAGAAAATGGAGAAGCTACTGCAATGTAATTTCAGTGTATGGATCTTAAGTGTTAAAATATCTAATCATTATTAAAGATTTTCTTTCAGCCTTAGGTTTATTTTTAATTTCTTTACTTGGGAAAATTATTAAAGAAAACTTTAATTTTCTTTCCTTGAGTTTGATTTCATTACAAGCCATTTGAAAACAATTATTTGGAACTCTTTGTCAAAAATATCGCAATTTCCTTCAAATAAATTTTTTCTTTGATATATTTGCTCATGAAAAATGATGCAGCTTTGGCCCCAGAAATGGAAATATTCTCTCTAAAGAAAGAGGGACATGTGAATATCAGTAAACAACTCTCAGATCCTAAATTGACTTTTCATCAGCCTAAGAGTTGGTATCTAGCATATCAAAGGGAACCAGATATATTCATCCGGCAATTAGATCATTTATATTGAGGAAAAAGCAGATTTTGGTGTCAAACTGATTTAGTTCACATCATGGTACTACCATCTATCAGATATGAAACAATGCAATAATGACAATAAAATATCAATGATAATAAATAATGATAATAAAAGCTATAATAATAATGATAATAAAAGCTAGCATTTTTGACAGTTAACTGTGTGCCAGGCGTTTTGTTACATGCATCAGCATACTTGGACTTCACAACAACCCTATTAGTTAGATTCTATTGTTGTCCCCAATTTATAGACTATAAAGGAGTCTTGGACGTATCATATAAATATTAGCTATTATTACTAACCACATAAATGTTAATGTTGTATAAAAATTTACACTTTATGAAATGTAAGTTAAAAATTATATAATATACTCTGTAATATATAATTGCCTAATACATTTAAATATATAATAAATATATGATATACAAAACAAACAAAAGTTGCACACAACTATATGTATCCTTTTTATCTGTGATTCTCTCTGCTGTTCGAAGCTCAGGTACCTTATACCATATTATTGTATTCTAATTTTTTGAGATATAAATGAACATACAAAATATAATATATACATATATACTAGAAAAATTTGGTTATAATATATTATATACTTCTATAATTTACACAGTATATAGTATATATTAACTTGTGTTTAACATATACAACAGAAACAAAATGCACAGCACAATACTTATCCTTTTTACCTTTTATGCACTGTGATATTTCTGTTTATTCCATACTATCTATGCTATGGTATATTATGCTACATTTTTCTACTCTATTCTCTAAAAATGTTGGTCTGGGGTCCACTTGCGTGGTGACCTGCAGTTTGATGTAAGGGCTCCTGTCTGATCTGTCTTCTATAACATCCATAAATACCTGGTGGTTTATGTTCTTTGCTTGGTCTCTGAAATCGTCAGTGCCATTTTCTGGATACGTAAACACTGAAGGAGACAAGAGAAAGCAGGTGTTTTATGAATCCAGCTGATATGTGATGCTTCACCTGCCTCCCCATGCAGCATTCTGTACCACCTTCTCTGCGCTGCCACAGCCTGTGTACATGCCTGGCTACCACTTATCTCCTTGCATTGCCTGGCAATCATGTGTTTAAAACTTGGTCTTATTGAGCAGTGTTCTCAGGAGTGGAAATCCATGTCATTCATCTTTGCTGAATGTATGAAATTACTTGTTAATGGGGATGGTGGATGAGGTATTTATTTGTATTTACAACTTAGTTGCATTTGAAACACCTTTTCTAAACATCAGATTCTTTAATCTATATTTAATATATTAGGTTAGCTTCTTAATGATATCTATATTCTGTTTTGCAGATTAAAGCTTTAGTTTTGAACATCAAAATAGTTCCTTGTATAATTCTCTTTCTTTTGCATGTAAGCAGCCACCCTGTGGCCTTTGATAGAGAACAGGTCTTCTCAAAATGAGCTTTCACTGTCCACATACACAGCTGTGGGAGGTCCCTGATGGATATTGGGGCCTCTGCCTTACCAATTTGATCAGCCAAATCTACCCTGGTGACCAGCGTCATAGCCTTATTCTCATTGCCTGTATCTTCTTTAAACAAAAATGTGGTACAATAGAGTTGTGGTGTCTAAATTAACCTACCATTTAGATGATGACATTTAAAAATAGCACACTCCTGCTTTATTCTTCCCTTTGAATTTCCTTCATATTATCAAGGAAATATAAGTACAGAAAGGTAAACACACAGTGGAAAGCTCTATAACCTATTTCATTAGTGCATTGACAATTTCCACTATTCTTAAAATAGACTCAAAAACTGTGATGTTGCAAACATGCTTCAGAACAAAAGCCCCTGTAAATGTACTGATGCTTATTAAATATCTATTCTCTTCAGGTTGTAGTTTGAGAGCTTATGAATAAATTCTATTATCCCTAGGAACCATATGCAGTCATTGGTGGAACTCTGTGGAAAACAGAATAGTGAAGGTCCAGTGCTATGGACCTTGTCTGCCTCAATATTTGGGCACTCGATGGTGTTTGCTAGTCTAAAAAGAGTAGAGACCAGCAACACCTTTTCTGGTATTGTGTGGCTATTTGAAATCCTGGTATAAACTCTTGATTCCATAAATATGAAACTGGATACTTCTAAAAGAATATTAAATATTTGAATGGAAACATGTAGAGACTCTTCCTAAAGAATTCTTAATTGGGGATAAAAAGAGGGGCTACTTAACGTGTATATGCAATGTTCAGTTTGGACTGATTTTACAATTTTGTAATCTCACATTATTTTAGCTTTTTATTGAATATCCACCTGGCCATCTGGTTCAAAATATGTATCATTTTGTGAACTATGCTGAAAATTATTTGAGGTGATCCCAAATGTCACTTCAAATAACACCTTCAGATATACAGTTGCAAGCAGAACTGAAAGGTTGCAAAAATGATTTTTAAAACCCATTTTTCCCAGCTATTTCTAAGACTTCCATTTAAGGAAGAGGAGAAAAGAAAGGTAACTATTTTACATAAAGTATATCACATACTTTTAATCTTTGGTGCTTTAAATTCTTTTATTAAGATAATTTGGTTGTTTATTTCACCCATAACAAGTATTCAAAGAATATGCACATTATGCAGGCTTTATTTTCTAATGCTACAGGAACAAAATGACTTTTTTCATCCCCAAAGGACTTTTTTCTTTTCCTTTTCCATATTCTTTCTCTTTTTACTGTGCACACCTGTGAGACCCATGTCCACCATGGTGTTTTCTAATGAGATGATTATTTATTTGGTTTTTCTTTTTTAACCTGGTAATGCAGCAGGTTTCATTACCGGATTATCTGACATTGACTCCAATTTTGCATCACCAGAATAAGTACAACTTGGTTATTAAGCAGTATCTTTTTTTTATATTGGCATCACTTTAATAGAGATATACATCATACTTGAATTGAAAGTGTTATTAACATAGATGATGCAAACCAGGAACAGTTCGGTAACGCGTTCTCACGATGCAATGTGGTATGTGTTTAGATTGGTTTTTATGTTAGTAGACAGTGTGAGCTTTTAATCAGACAATGTTAAAATATTTTGTCTTCTACCTTTCTTAGGTGTTACTGAAATCTACCTTTATTTAAAATGTTATCTAATTTTAAATTATGCAATACCTTTTTAAAGTATATTACTGGATTCAGCTTACAAGATTTTATTACAGATTTCTGCATCTATATTCAAGAGGGAGACTGGCCAGTGATTTTCCTTTCTCACGCTGTCCTTGTTTGGTTTTGAAGTCAGTATTATAATAGCCTCATAAACTAAGCTGGAGAATGCCGCTGCCCTTCCTCCTTGCTGCTTTTTGTTTCTTTGAAAGAGCTTATGTAATCTTATGTAATTTTCTATTCTTTAAATGTTTGGGAGAATTTACTTACAAAGTTGTCCGGGCCTGGTATTTTCATAGTGCAAAATTTAAAATATTGATTCAGTTTCTATAAGGATTAGAGGCAAATTCAAATTTTCTATTTCTCTTTTTTGTTGAGTCAGACTTTAGTCATCGATATCTTTCTTGGTATATGCCCATTTTAAAAAAGTTTAAAAATTTATTAGCATAAATTTGATCATGAAATTTTAAAATTTTTCTTTTCAATATCTTATGTCCCCTTTTTTGTTTCATCTCTCTTTTATCTTAAAGAATTGGTAGAGATTGTAAATTTTATTTTTCAAAAACCACTCGGGATTTGTTGATTTATCATTTTTTTTTTGTAATTTAATAATTTCTGCTCTTTACTATTGCCCTCCTTCTGCTTTCTTTGGGTTTATCTTATTTCAGTTTTTGATTTCTTTTTTTTTTTTTGTCTTTTTTCCATGTCCGGCAATGGATCACAACCCTCAGTGTTGCCCCCGTACCGGACCAGGGACCGGCAACGGGATTGCAAGCCTCGGTGTTGCTCCCGCTGAGCGGGAGCCGGTCTGTATGTGGGATCCGAACCCTCCGGCAGGAGCACCGCCGCGCTTCCCAAGCGGCGCACTATCCAGTGCGCCACCGGGCCGGCCCCGACAGTTTTCCAGACTAAATTTTTTAAATGACCTATATAATACTTATATATATATAAG